AGATGAGATGGCAGAGAGGATCAGGAGCTGGTTGAACGGACACGGGAAATCAGGGGTGGAAAGGAGGAATGCGTTGTCACAGTACAGGGGAGCAACTAGGGTTACATAACAATGTATGTATAAATTTTTGTATGAGAGACTAATTTGAATTGTAAACTTCCACTTACAGCACAAATTAAAAAAAATTTAAAAAGCAACATAAATAAAATGTCTATGCAATTTTCATAGCAAAAAAAATAGAGGTGTGGCCACCAACAGCAGGCTTTCTCTGTTGGAACCTGTACAGAGGAAGCAGGAGAATCACTTCTAGTACCTGCCTGGCTTGCAACTTTGAAAACTTCATTTCCGCTCTGAAACAGAAGCGTATCTATTATATTAACTGATGGGTTAATAGTCAAATGAAACATTAAGACATCCATCTAGGAATAGCTTCTTTGGTGGACTTGTAAGTTTAGAAATTAGATCATAAATTTCTTGAGAGAAGCTGAGGGTCTGAAGATGTTAGATGTCATTTACAAAACATCTATGTGAAAATAAAATGCCATTCACACTTTAAGAATCCAATACAACTATCACACACATTTTGGAACACTCACAATCTAAAATCTAGAAATATTCTGGACTAATATCTGAAGGAGAGATTCCAAACTCATTTGTAAGCATTAATGAGACATCAAATGAGAAACAAAACTTATCTTACACCAACATCAGTATTTATTTATATTAATACTTTATTGAAACAAGCTTTTCCATTGTACAAAGCCATGTAAACAGTGAGCAGTCTTAAATCTGGATGTAATAAACATGTAAGATCATAGTTACCCCTTTAAACTCAAAGAGTCAAAATTGATTTGTGAAAACCTGTCTAGAAAGACCACCTCCAACAGGTCCAGGTTTAGATTTGGCAGAACTTCAAACAGCACGATCTTTTATCCCCTTTAATTGACAGAGAAACACTGGAGGTAATAGGAGCCCAGAGATCTCTCCCTCTCCCACTTTCCTCCAGACAAAGAGCACAGAAATTCAAGCATCTACAAAAGCAGCATGGCTTAGCCCAGCTACAAATTAGCCTTAAAACTCTTGTCACTAACAAAGGTCCCAGTTCTCTGCCATTGATAAAAGCAGTGGTTCTGAACCCTGGCTGCACATGACAACGACCTGGGGTACTTTTAAAAATATCAGTATTCAGGCTCCACTCCAGACCAATTGAACTAGCATTAAAGTAAAAATGCTGGCCATTAGCAGTTTTGTAACACTCCCAGGTGATTCTAATTGCAACCACGGTTAGAAGCCACTGGAGCCAAGGCTTATCACCCGTACAAGGGTCAAGAATACAATCACGTTTTTCCCTTGTGTCCTTCTTCCTCCTGGAGCTAATGGATTCTGGAGGGTGTAGAGCAATATGTTGCTTCAATAAGACTAAGCACTTCATAGCCAGAAAGAAAAAAAAAACACTTTGCACCCTGAGATAAACCAAAAATAAGTTATCTGATTCTGATCTCAAAAACAATAAAACCTTGAACGTTTCCTATACACCTGGACTCCCGAACAAAGTAGCCCTGGTTTTTGCTGAGCTGCTGTCTGAAGATTTGCCATGACCTTTGTGAATCTGATCATCACGTCAGAGAACTGCTGTTTTTCCACCACGGACAGACTAAAGCAAACTTGGAAAGCTTGGTAGTTTCTACTTTCTTCCTTTAAATAATTGAACTCTTTCATTTGGCAAGCCAGTCCTTCTCTTGATCAATTGGCAGGTAAACTTTTCCTTTCTTCAGTGCTTCTGTCTGAATCTTTCTTCATCAAGGGTAACGGCTCAAAGGGTGCTTGGACTCAGAACTGGATAATTTCTCCTGGGGGTAGATGGTTCTCTGCAAGTGATGAGTGAAAGGACTGAGAAATGAGAGCCTGCTTAGCTCGCCCAGGGCTGTTTGGAGGTGTAACCCAAGATCCAGTTCAACTCTAAATGTGTCCTCTTGGCTGTACAGAACAAATCCCAAGGTTGGTGTCAGCCTCCTCTTCTGTAAACTTCTAAGCAGGTTTTAACTGCCTTAACCTAAACTGCATTATGCTAAGTGATTTTTACAAAACTCTAAATCAAGAATGACCCCAGAGACTCAAGTAAAAATACTGGGAACAACACACACCAAGGAACCAAAAGGCCTGCTACTTTACTAACTTTTCTGGAACTGTGTAAAACCCATTACAATAAGCTTTACTGGCTTTTCTGCAAACAGAAATGTTGTCATAGCAAATCTTACTTAAAATAGTAAAACATAAGCTCAGTGAAGGCTAGGCTCTCCTTTGTCTTGTTCTCTGTTATATTCCCAGTGAACACAGTACATATTTGTTAAATGACTGAAATATAAGGACCTGGAAAACTTGTTGGTCCACAAACCAGTATCTCTTGCAAACTGGGAAACCTCTTGTATCTCACGTAAAGTACAAATGATACTTTATTAGGATGGAGCTTTTTTTTTTCCTGGTAGCAACCAAAACGTCCACTGCTAACCTTGCCTAGGAAACCCTGGTGGCGCAGTGGTTAAGTGCTACGGCTGCTAACCAAAAGGTCAGCAGTTCAAATCCACCAGGCATTCCTTGGAAACTCTATGGGGCAGTTCTGCTCTGTCCTACAGTGTCGCTATAAGTCAGAATCAACTTGATGGCAATGGGTTGTTTGGTTGGCTAACCTTGCCTAACAAGCTCTTCAAAAAAAAAGTCTGCAACTTGGTGTGATTTTGTTTTTCCAATTCTGATTAAACAAATGCACCAGACCGTCAGCCAATTTACATCCCATTTAGGCATCCAGTGGCAAATATTTACCAAGTACCCTTACCCCTATCCCCAGCACTACCGTAGACACCAGCAGACAGTGGAATTTTCCTTTTGGTTATAACAGCTTCTGCACTCAGAGCAGTAGGGGTGGAAGTATAGAGGCCACTCTCTCGATGGGGGCAGGAGGCACCCACCCAAGGAAGGCCCATTCATAGGCTGACCAGCAACCCGTGAGAGAGGCTGGGGTGAAGGGTTCTGCCCGGTAAGGGCAATGGTAACCACTCAAGTGGCTTCCAGAATCTAGACAAGAGATAAACAGAGGATGGGCCAGGAGGGAGGAAGAACAAGGAGCAGTCCCACAGAGGGACAGAGCTGTTGTGAAAGGAGGCAGAAAGGAGCCCTGCCCCAGCCTGGCAGGGCTCAGCTCCTGAAGAGGCCTCGAGGCTCATTCCAGCCCATGGTTCCCTGATAATAAACCACCTGGTTCTAAGGTGGCCAGAAGAGTCTGTGTTTGTAAACGAAAAAGCCCAGGACACAGGACAAAGAACAACTCATTTAGCAAAAAAATACATGGTACTCCAGTGACAGGAGAGGAAGTTCATTAACACTTAGTCCACAGCACCTAGCACAGAGTAAGCTCGTAAACATTGGCTCAATGACTGAACAAAAACTGGAAGCAGAGAGAACGTTGAGGTAGATGCCTGACTTTTAACCTTTGAGTTTACTTACTTAGCCCGCAGGTGATAACAAGCTGATTCTAATAGATCAAACTGTCTGCCCAGGGTTGTCAGCAACACTAATAAAAGTGTGTGTTTCTCTAGCCTCGTCCTATAGCTGGTCTCTTCTGGAAAAACCAGATTAGGATAAAATTTAAGCCAAATGATCCAACGAATGCATTTTATAATTTCAACAGGTTGTTCAGAAGCTAAAAACCTCAGCCCTTGGGCTAGGCATGCCATCTAACAACTTCAAAACATCCTCCAGGCCACCCATTAACTAACTCAACCAAACTGCATCAAAGACAAGCTGCAATAAATTTAGAGACCAGGTACTAAATGCATTCTACAATTAAACATATAAGCCAACAGGAAAGCATGAAAACAATATACAAGAAATCATAGCCACAGTGCAAGAAATTGAGGAATTGCCTCTGAAGAATTAAAAGAAATAACCAGGGCTGAAACAGAAGGCAAAAGAAGACAAAGTATCCACAAAAAAAATGGTGGATAATAAAAATTCTACTTGATTAAGAAATTCAGTGTTATAAAATCTTTAATCATTAAATATGAAACTATTTACACCTAAATAAAAATCCAAGTGAAGTTCAATCTAGCTCAAACGCCAACTGGCCAAAGTGTATGAAGGGAAAAACCTGTTGCCGTCAAGTCAGTTCCGACTCACAGCTACCCTAGAGAACAGAGTAGAACTGCCCCATGAAGTTTCCAAGGAGCACCCGATGGATGAGAACTGCCAACCTTTTGGTTAGCGGCCGTAGCTCTTAACCACTATGCCACCAGGGTTTCCGTATTAGAGGAAAGGAGCTTAAATTCCCCTGACAGCCAAGGTCACCAGCTTCAGTTTGCTTTATACACAAGGGAGGCCAAAAACTTCTCTTTGAGATCATTAAGCTGGACTGTCTACCACCATGACCCATTAAAATCAGGCCGTGCTTAAGAGCCATGATAATTTAAATTACGCTATTTGACAAGATCTCTAGTACAACCTTTCTGACCCCAGATACATGTTAATGTCAAGTACAACAGGAAATAAATCTTTCCTGGAAACATCTTGTATGACTGTTGGATGCCTTGTTCCTTCCACTAGACCCATGCTGCCCAATGTGGCAGCCACTAGTTATGTGGGTATTTAAATTTACATTTAAACTAAATTAAAAATTCAATTCTTAGGTTGCAACCATATTTCAAGTGCTCAATTGGCCAAAGGTGGCTAGTTGCTACTGGGCAGTACAGATACAGAACATTTCCAGCATCGCAGAAAGTTCTATTGTACAGTGCCGCACTAGAGGGTAAGCTGAATTACCTAGGAACCCTGTGATCTTCCACCAGTGTACCCTCAGCACTCCCACAGAGACTGCCAAACAGGAGGCACTCAACACACATGTGGCGTAAACAGTAACGACCTACGTGACAAACACTCCTTTCAAATGGAGAGAACTCAGAACAGTCCTGGAGTGTGTGTGTGGCAGGGAGGGGGGACACGGGGACTGCAGACTCTCAAAGATTAAGGCTCAAAATTAGAAGAGCTGAAACAAAACAAAAAAACTCCCTAAAGTAGTGAAGTATTCTACACTCCCTAGAAGTGGACCTTACTATTCAAAGTGTGGGCCATGAGCCAGCAGCATCCCATCACCTAGAAGCTTGCTGTTTACCGTCGATGCCAACTCATAGCGACCATACAGGACAGAGTAGAACTGCCCCATAGGGTTTCCAAGGCTATAATCTTTATAGGAGCAGACTGCCACATCTTCCTCCCACAGAGTGGCTGGGGATCCCTCAGAAGCTTGTTAGAAATGTAAAATCTCAGTCCCCACCCTAGTCCTACTGAATCACAATCTTCATTTTCACAGGCAATTCTTCTGCACATTAATGTTTGACAAGCACTGGTCTAGGTCTCTGCCCTTCCAGGCCATGCAAGCTCAGCTCAGTGGATTTAAAAACAGTATGTACAACTGCACGTGAGTCTACAGTATACTCAATAAAAATTTCAGTTTAAAAATAGGCATTTTAAACAATTAACTGTATCTTCATCTCTTTTGTATCCTTTCCCTATCTCCACCAGAACAGTGTAGAAAAATGTCCAACACATAAAAAACCTGTTGCTGTCAAGTCGATTCTGATTCATAAATACCTGTGGGTTCATATACACAAAACACACACGTGCGCACAACATAGGCGCCATGAGCAAAACAAGTGCCCTTAACAAATGCAGATACGGGGTTACCCAGAAGAATAAATCTACTTCCATTAAGAATGTTAAGCCCGATTTCAGTAATAACTTTTACGTGGCAGAGTTGAGTGATACATTGCTATGGTAAACCAAAAGTTCTGGCTGTGAGAAACTATCCCGATTATTCAATGAATCGATCTAACCAAAAGCAATCTACATGTGATCTAGGCTGCACACACTGTTCAGGAGTGTGTCTCTGCACTGGTCATCTACCAATAATTTTTTTTTTTTAAATAAACTGCAATCCTTTGAACTAAGAACCAGTCTACCAACTGTAGTGTCAATATGTTCTGGACACAAAATTCATGTTGTTTCTGACACTTTATCTGGAAGAGAGAAATTTTTTTTCACCCCTTGACCCTTTACTTAGGAATTAAGTTGATAAGAAATTTAAGAACTTTACTAGGTATTTGGGATTATGGATTATTTTTACTTGTTCCTTATATTTTCATGTATTTCCCTAATTTTCTATCATGACCTTAATACCTTTATTACTTATACAATAAAAATTGATTTTTAAAAAAGATTTTCAAGTGGCTAGAGATAATTCTTTAAACAATGAATTGAAAACTGCTCTCAAAGTGTCTTTGAACTTCAGAATAAAATGAAATTTCTCTATTTCTCTCATATTAAGCTGCATTTGAACAGGTTAAAAGTAGAACGGTAAAGGGCATAAAATGTCAAGGAAAAAAAGGCATAACTGAGTTAATCCAGTACCCCACAAATATTCCCCTATATTGGCTTTGGTTGGCCTGGCCTATGGGGAGTCTTCCATCTGCACCCTAGTACACTCAATGGGCTGTCCCTATAATCAACCTTTAGTGATTGCTGAAGCAATCTTTTTCCTGGCTTGAAGCTTTTAGTCCTTTCGAGAACCCAGATTTTCAGGTACCTGACTGTGGCAGACACATCTTAACATGACCCTCAATGAGTCACATCCCTGTCCTATCCTCTCCCCTTCAGTTTGGGGGGGACCCTGTGACTTGCTTCTAGTCAGCAGAATATGGCAAAGGTGATGGAATGTCATTCCTGTTATTATCTTACATTATTTAAGACTCCAGCTAATCAGACTAGAGCAAGAGATTCTTCTACCAGCTTTGAGGAAGTAAGCAGTCACGTTGTTAAGAGGATCCATGAGAGGGTAACACAGCAAGGAACTGTGGGAGGCCACTAGGAACTGACAGGGTCATCTGGCTGACAGCTAGCAAAAAACGAGACTTCAGCCCAAACACAAGAAGCTGAAGACTGCCAACAACACGTGAGCTCGGAAGAAGACTCCAAGCTCAAGAAAGAACAAAGCCCATCTGACACCTTGAATGTTGCCTTATGATGCCCTTGGCATAGGACCAGCTAAGCCATGCCTAGAATCCTGACGCACAGAACTGAGATAATAAATGTGCGTGGTTTTAAATCACTAAGTTTTTGGTAATGTCTCATAGCAATAGAAAACTTGGGTAGTGGTTACTTGGGTATCAGCAGACATTTACTTAAGATTTGACCATTAGGATGAATAATCAACAATTCTAATGATCAACTAAATCTTAGAATTGGTTGTACTAAGTCTTTTCCTTCCAATATGGAAATACATTATCAAACTTTAACAAAGCCTATAATCTCATACAGCCATTCACACTTTGGTTTGTGGAACCCTAATGGATTTTCCGATGTGGATTACCAAATCTTCTACCATGTTATTACCATTCTTCTCTCCCTGAGCTGCATCCTCCACCCTCTAAAAGGAGATACTGCAGGAAGGATCCCTGTTCTAGCAAGCCTCCCAGCTGCCAAATAGCTGATGCTGCCTAAATGCCAACAACCTGAGATGTTCAATTCTACTCTGGGCTTCGAACTGGTTCATTCCGGTTCGATCCCCTCCTGAGAATTAGGAATGAACTGGTTCAAAGCCCTGGTTCTACCTAAGGGTACAGAATTTAAAAAAAAAAAATTAAGGGGAAATAGGCTTTTTACTGTTAATTTCTCTACCATCCTTCTCCCAAGTTATTATTAATAAGAACCAATATTGTGGTAGATACGAATGGGTAGTAGTCAAAGAAGGTGTTGTATTTTCACTTAAGACAAAACAAATGCAAATTTATAGGAATTAGAAAGAAAAAGCAAATATACTGATACCAAGCAGAAATTAGATGTTACCCAGCATAAAACTTGGGAGAGGTAAACAATAACTGTCATCAATTCCAGTCATGTATCAAAAGATATCTCATACTAGTCTACCATCCCTCATATGAAATACCTTTTCTAAGCCCTGATTCCTAGCCCAACAAGCCACCTTCTAGTCTTTACTTAGGTTTCCCAAGTACTTCAAACTTAGAAAGGAGGAGACCTGGATAGGTGACACAGGTATTGCAATCATTGGAATAGCCTGTGCCTCACTGGAAATTAAACTAGCAGCCTGGTTTACAGTGCTATGAGGATCCAGTCCTGAACTGCAAGGCTGTTCACAGACTCTGATCCCGAGGTAGGCAAAGGACCTCGAGAGGCCCCTTTACAGCTCTACTACTAATGCAGTAACTCTGAAATAGTTTGTGAAATCAGCATCTCCAGATCCCACTTGAACATAATTTGAGAAAAAAAAATTGCATATAAAAATAACTTTTCTTTTAAATAAAAGTATCTGTAAAAATAGTATTAGCTCAGTAACTGAACAAGTTACTGTTATTTCACTGACTCTAAGACACAATTAAAAAACACTCCATTATTTTATGTACTTCTATGGGGAAAAAAAACTGTCAATTAAACTTTGTCACAAAGTTACACGACCATTGATTGTAAGATCCTGATTTCAGAGAGATTAAAAATGTGAAAAACGGTACATCTTAGAATCGATGGAATAAAGTACTAAAAAAAGTATTCTTCAGATAATTACTCAAATAAAGTATTGAACATTAAGTCTATTAAACTGACATGTATTCATAATCAGTAGCACACTCTTAAAGCTGTTTATCATTTCTGTTTCACTTCTCATTTGAAATGAAGAACCGGGGAGCACTTACGTTAATTTCTAGCAGATATCTTGCACAAACTTTAAAACTTTGGCTGCTCACTTTGGAAATCATTTCATTTTCATTTTTAGGATCACAGAGTTTTAGATGGGATGAGATAAACAAAGCCTAAGTAAGTTAAGTGACCTCACGCAGAGTCAGAAAGCTTGAAGCCAGGTCTCTTGGGCCCTGTTCTGTATTCAGAAATCAGAATCAAATGAGTAGTTACCATAGTTTTGTCCAACCCCACAAATTGGGTAAAGCAATTAACAAAAACCTCTGTGCACTTCCAAATTGCTTTTTTTTTAAATTACTGCCCTCAACTTCCCTGGAAAAATACTGATGCCTGATAATCTGTTCAGCTAATCAATGCAACTCCTAGATTATTCCATTCTATTAGAAAAGTACCCAATTTCTCAAAAACAAATGCCTTCTTTGCATGCTCTGAGGGGTGAAGCCCATAAAATGTTGCCTCATCAGCCACATGCCAAACATTAGTCTCAAAACAAGATCTTACTATCTGAGACCATCTGAGTCTTTAAAAGATTCTGGAGATTACAGAACATTTCAAAACTTTTTAGCTATAATCTGACCTAGAAATTTTAATCCCCAAAGCATGTAGAAAATCTGCTAATGCTCTCCTCTGACTGGCCTCTTTAGAACTGGCAATATTCAAGGAAGTCAGTAAGTAATCCCTCTTCTTCCCTCCGTATTAGTCTGTTTTCTCCTGGTTTCTGTCAAGATGCTTCACAGGGTAGTTGCCACTACTAACTGGAGAGGACGCAAACAGGAATGCATCTGAGAGTGACTGGTTAGAGACTTCAGAGGTGGGCTCCATCAGAATATTTCTAGAGGTCTCTATTACAGAATTTCTCATTGTGTCATTCATTTCAATCACTTTGAAGTCCATTTCATTCCATTTTTCGGCATCGTCCTCGTCATTCTCTTCCTCACAGTCATTCAGCCCAGAGCTAGAGAGCAAAGCTTTCTGGTCCTCACTCTTTCTGCTTTCTTTTTGCTGACGTTTAAGAGGTGAGGTGGCTAATTTATACAGCACAGGGAACAAAATAGCAGTGGCTACTGCTGACCCCAAAGAGACATACAGAACTACAGGTAAATCAGGGTATTTTCCTTGAATAATACCAATTACTGCAGGAATAGCCATTTCTCCCAGGGCAGCACCGGTCACAAACAATGCTGCAGCTTTGCCACGGATGGTTGTGTACTGTTCAATCCAAGAAACACCACTGGGAAATGTGGTAGCCATGGAGGCCCCATACACTGAAGTTGCTATCCAGAGACAAACTGGGTTTTTGTGAAAAATTACCAGCAATAACGATGAAGCCAGGCTGCCGATGTTGCCCAACACAATCATGGTTCCAGGTTGCAAGCATGTCGCAAAAAAGATCGCCAGGCCCCTGCAGGCTGCAAAAGTCCCCCAGAAGATGGAGTTCAACCCAGCCGCTTCACTTTCTTTCATGCCAACATGGGTGGTTGCAAACGAGAAAACGTAAGAGCCATATGTTACCTCGGCTCCGACATAAAAAAAGAAGAACATAAAAAGGAGACAAAGAAGGATTTTGTGGTATTTCGCTCTCCGAGATGTCTGAGCGAATTCTTTTTCTTTTTCACGTCTTGAACTTTTCTTTAAAAACAGAGCAAAAAGAAATATAGAAACTACAAAAATATAAGTACCAGTAACAATATAAGCCCACAGTAAATTCTTATTGTCCGGTACTCCAAATATAGATTCTGAGTCTGCTTCAGATGATTGGTTGAGGGCTGAGTGGTTATTAAAGTCAGTCTCTGTGTGGTTTTCAGCAGACACGGTCGTACTTAATGCCACTTTGGCCAGCAGTGGAGCCAAAAAGGCACCCAAGGCAAAGCTGAAGTGTAAGGCCTGCATATGTGGGGCTCCTTTGTCCCCCCAAATAGCCAACATAAGGACGTTACCACCTACCAATGAAATACAGGAAAAATGATTTAAGTTATTACCCTAAAATAAGCATAATTCATTCCTATCAGAAAGAGTATAAGTCTGTTTTACATGGCACAAGGATTATAATATTCTAAGTTATCAAACATTGCAACTAAGTTAATTCAATGATTAAGGAACTCTAATCCACCACCTCCAGAGAACTATAAGCATTATAACATAACACACTCACAAGTGGAATTGTACGTGCATGCTAGTAAATCAACTACTTCCTAGAACCAGGCACCTTAGCTAAAGACTTCATGTAATACAGTTCTAATACCAAGCTGTGGGGGCAGAATATTCATATATATTATATATTTTATTTTTAATAAATGTTGTCATATATATGTCTAGATAAAAGGCAAAATTTTATCCTCAGATAGTGGCCAACTTACCAAAGCTTTCTGTACTTGCAATTGGTATCCACTTGAGAAAAATTATTTATGTATATAGCAGATGCAAACCACAGTTCAGGAACCTGAACACTAAAGGATTCTGGTGCACCCATTACATGACAGAAGGCCCCCTTCTAGTGTCTGTGCCTGCACTGTCTAAATTACCTACAAGGTGAAAGGCAAGAAGCATGAAGTCTTGGGCTGCCTTTTTGTTCATGTTTAACAGATGTGAAAATAAACATACAATTCAACCTTGTCATTTCACAACCAACATTTAAAGTATAAAATATTTCCCTGATCTATCAAATAACAGTATGGAGCCCTGGTGGTTCAGTGGTTAAGAGCTACCTACGGCTGCTAACCAAAGGGTCGGCAGTTTGAATCCACCAGCTGCTCCTTAGAAACCCTATGCGGCAGTTCTACTCTGTACTATAGGGTCGCTGTGAGTCGGAATCAACTTGCCGCTTCAGTTTTTTTGTTATCAAATAACAGTAGAGCAGGGAAGAGGAGAAGAGAGCTGGTTTTAGGGGTTGTTATGGATTGAATTCTATCCCACAAAAATATGTGTTGAAATCCTAACCCGTGTGTATCTGTAAAGGATTTCAACACATATTTTTATGCTTTCTGGAAAAAGAGGTTTTCTTTTGTTATGTTAATGAGGCCATACCAACGTAGGGTGTGTCCTAAACCTAATTACTTCTGGGTTATAGAACAGCAGATCAGACACAGAGAGGAGAAGACAGAAGATGTGTGAGGACCACCTAAAAGCAAAGGAACACCAAGGATTATTGGAAGGCACCAGAAACTAGGAGAGAGACTCCCAGAAGTAATCAACAAGGCCAAAAACCTAATTTGGACTTTTGGCCTCCAAACTGTGAGAAAATAAATTTCTGTTCTTTAAAGCCAACCACCTGTGGTATTTCTGTTACGGCAGCACTAGGTAACTAAGACAAGTCAGTTGCCATCAAGTGAATTCCGACTCATGGTGACCCCACGTGTGTCAGGGAAGAATTGTCCTCTATAAGGTTTTTAATAGCTGATATTTGGAAGGTGGTTGCCAAGACTTTCTTCCAAGGTGCCTCTGGGTGGACTCAAACCTCCAAACTTCAGTTAGCAGCTGAGCATGTTAACTGTTTACACCACCCAGAGACTGTGATAACTAAGACGGGGGTGAACAAATGTCATGTATGTTATTTAGTAAGTTTCAAAAAATATCAAGATACATGGACCCCGAGAGTATGGCCCAAAAGGTCAGCAGTTTGAATCCATCAGTCACTCCCTGGAAACTCTATGGTGCAGTTCTACTCTATAGGGTTGCTATGAGTTGGAATCAGCTCGACAGGAATGAGTTTGGTTTTGGGTTTTTTTTTTTTTGGGGGGGGGCACTATTTCTACTTCCTAATAGAAAGTCCCTACTCCCAGAGATGACACTGAAGGACTCACTAACCTATATCCACAACGCCAATCGAAGCACCAAAGACGGACATCATGACAATCAGTAGTATTGTTCTCTTGCAAAAAGGAACAAGATAAAGACCAACTGTGGTAGCCAACATCGACAACCCTGAGAAGAAAGGTAAAAATATGCTATAAAAACTGATACTCATGCAAAGAGTCATGGACCAATTCAACATTAGAGAAGTCCCCCCAAAATGCAAAATAAGGTCACACTAAAATTGGGTAATAATGAATAGATAAGAGGTTCAGCTTCTAGAAGTGGTTCTTTCGTTTAAAAGCTTTTATCTTTATGGACTATACAATATGTTACTCTAATATGAACACATTTCTAGCACTGATAATCAAACTATAAATTATACCACAAGGCAAAGTTTTACAGCAAAAAAGTAAGGTAAAAAAATTATTTTAAGATGAAATGTTTCCAACTTAAGAACCTAAAGGCATTTTTAGATATCAGATTAAAATAAAATTAAATAAAATGCAATTATTATGCAGTTTGTAGCAGAAATTTATTTAGTCTGGAGAACAGGGAGGAAAATACAAGAAATATATTCTTTCAATCCATTTTGGAAATAAGGGATTAGTTATCTATTCATCAACAATAATAAATTACTCTTCTTGTTTCTAAAGCATTTTTATCCTACTACTAATACAAATTTTCTTTAAACATGTCGATTTATTCTAAAGAGTATATTAAAATCTCTGACATCTATTTCAAAGATAAAGTAGAGAGGTCTGGATTCATCACTGACACGGGGCAGCAGGAACAAAAATTTAGCCTGTATCATTTCACCTGCCATGCTCTCCCCCTTCATTCCCAGCCCTGGGTTTAGCCTGGGCAGGTACAAGGAGCTCATTCTGAACTATGGCAGCCCCAGGAGACCTGCCCTAGTCCCTGATAAGTAGGGTTCTTCGGACAACCACTGTGTGATCCAGATAGTACCCAAATTATACTGACGGTTAGCAAGTGCAAAGATCACTGACACACTCTAAGGCTAATCTACGTTTCCAGAGCAGCCCAGCACAGATCCTCTGTAACGCCAAGGTGAAAGCAGGCACCAGGAAAACCTTCTATAAGGACACCTATGTAAATTGTCGATAATTCTGCAGGCTACTATTTTTCATATTTAAGGACAAATTGTAAATTTGCTGAAATCCACAAAGAAGCTAAAATCAATGTTTACTTACCCAAAAGTAAAAACTTATTCATCAAGTCAAAAAGAAATCCGCCAATCACAGAACCAGCCAAATATCCAGAGGCACGGCCCACAAAAATCAGAGAAAGACCACCGATATCGCTGTTTACATTTGTTGCCAAATCTTGAAATGTGGGTCCGAGAATGCTGACACTCATTCCCTAGGATTTAGAAAGACAAAAGCCTTTACTTACAATCATTAAAATGCTATGTATGTAAAAAGGGGTGAAGGGATTACGTTAAGTCCCACAGCCAGGAAAAATTCACAATGACAATACTAGTATTACTAGATCTACAGACTCCTACTTCTGGTGTGCCAAATTCCATGGTTTTTCTAATTTGGACAATTCTCAATCTTTAAAAAAAACTTTTTTGACTCTTCGTGCAATTGTTTCCTTTTCGATTAATATTTTAAAAGACTATTAAGTACTCATACTTAATAAAACGTAACACTGAAATTATTTTTGAAATAGTTTTGTATATTTTGAAATATACCACATGCACAAATAGCTAACACGAGAATTCAGATGTTAAAAGTTTAAATTATCAAACCATCAAAATGTTATTCTCATTTTTATTTTTTATTGTTGTGCTTTAAGTGAAGGTTTACAATTCAAGTTAATCTCATACAAAAATTTAAACATAGTTATGTGACCCTAGTTGCTCTCCCTATACTGTCACAGCACACTCCTCCTTTCTACTCCTGATTTCCTGTGTCCATTCAACCAGCTCCTGACCCTCTCTGCCTTCTCATCTCGCCTCTGGACAGGAGCTGCCCAGTTAGTCTCATGTATCTACTTGAGCTAAGAAGTACACTCTTCACGAGTACCATTTTATGTCCTATAGTCCAGTCTAATCTTTGTCTGACGAGTTGGCCTCGGGAATGGTTTTAGTTTTGGGCTGACAGAGAGCCCGGGGGCCACGTCTTCCAGGGTCTCTCCAGTCTCAATCAAACCATTAAGTCTGGTCTTTTTACTAAATTTGAGTACCGCACCCTACTTTTCTCCTGCTCTGTCACCAAAGTGGGATGCAGAACGTTTTCTTAAAAAACTTTGTTATTGCTAGAGGCCCTAAAACACAGCATTAACCAAATACAAACCATAACCATCAACACACAAACTCCAGAAGATAAGCTAGATAACTAGAATCTTCCAAAAATCAAACACCTAGGCTCTTCAAAAGACTTCACCAAAAGAGTAAAAAGAGAACCTACAGACTGGGAAAAAATTTGGGGGCATTACAAGTCAGACAAAGGTCTAATCTCCATAATCAACAAGAAAATCCAACACCTCTACAACAAAAAGACAAATAATCCTATTAAAAAAATGGGCAAAGGAAATGAACAAACACTTCACCAAAGAAGACATTCAAGCGGCCAACAGACAAATGAGGAAATGCTTGCACTCACTAGCCATTAGAGAAATGCAAATTAAAACCACAATGAGATACCATCTCACCCCCGGCATTACTGGTACGAGAATCAAAAACACTGGAAATAACAAATGTTGGAGAGGCTGCGGGGAGATGGGAACTCTTATGCACTGCTGGTGGGAATGCATAATGATACAACCATTTTGGAAAATGATATGGCGCTTCCTCAGAAAGCTAGAAATAGAAATACCATACGATCCAGCAACCCCACTCCTAGGAATATATCCTAGAGAAATAAGAGCCGTCACACAAACAGACATATGCACACCTATGTTCATGGCAGCATTGTTCACAATAGCAAACAGATAGAAACAACCTAGATGCCCATCAACAGATGAATGGATAAACAAACTATGGTATATACACACAGTGGAGTATTATGCAACAATAAAGAACAATGATGAATCTGTGAAGCATCTCATAACATGGATGACACTGGAGGACATTATGCTGACTGAAATAAGTCAATCACAAAAGGACAAATATTGTATGAGACCTCTTGTAAAAACTCATGAAAAAGTTTACATACAAAAAGTAACAATCTTTGTTGGTTACGAGGGATGGGAGGGGTGGGGGGGGGGAATACTAAATGGACAATAGATAAGTGGTAACTTTGGTGAAGGGTACGACGGTACACAATAACTGGGGAAGCCAGCACAGCTTGTACAAGCAAAGGTCATGGAAGCTCCACAGACACATCCAAACTCCATGAGAGACTGAACTGCTGGGCAGAGGATGTGAGGACCATGATCGCAGGGTACATCTGGCTCAACTGGCTTAACACAGCGTATAAAGACAGTGTTCTACATTCTACCTTGTTGAGTAGCATCTGGGGTCTTAAAAGCCTGTGAGCAGCCATCTAAGATATTCCACTGGTCTCACCCCTTCGGGAGCAAAGGAGAATGAAGACAACAGGATATGAGGAAAAGATTAGTCCAAAGGACTAATGGACCACAGCTACCAAGGCCTCCACCAGACTGAGTCCAGTACAGCTAGATGATGCCAGGCTACTACCACAACTGCTCTGGCCAGGATCACAACAGAGGGTTCTTGACAGAGCTGGAGAACGATGCAGAACAAAATTCTAACACACAAAAAAAGACGAGATTTAGTGGCCTGACAGAGGCTGGAGAAACCCCAAGAATATGGCCCCGGGATAAGAAAAAAAACACTTTGTTATGCCAACTGATTTGATGAGTGGCATCTGGGGTCTTAAAAGCTTGCAAGCGGCCATCTAAGATGCATCAATTGGTCCCAACCACCTGGAGTAAAGAAGAAGGAAGAACACCAAAGACACAAGGCAAGTATTAGCCCAAGAGACAGAAAGGGCCACATAAACCAGAGACTTCATCAGCCTGAGACCAGAAGAACTAGATGGTGCCCGGCTACCACCAATGACCGCCCTGACAGGGAACACGACAGAGAGTCCCAGATGGAGCAGGAGAAAGGTGGGGTGCAGAACTCAAATTCTAGTAAAAAGACCAGACTTAATGGTCTGACTGAGACTGGAGGAACCCCAGAAAGCATGGCCCCCGGGTTCTCTATCAGCCCAGACACTAAAACAATTTCCGAGGCCAACTCTTCAGACAGGGATTGGACTGGACTGTGGGACATAAAGGGATACTCGTGAGGAATGTGCTTCTTAGCTCAAGTAGATACAAGAGACTAAATGGGCAGCTTCTGTCCGTAGGTAGATGGGAAGGCAGAGAGGGTCAGGAGCTGGTTGAATGGACATGGGGAATGAGGGGTGGAAAGGAGGAGTGTGCTGTCACAGTATGGGGAAAGCAATTAGGGTCACGTAACAGTGTATGTATAAATTTTTGTATGGGAGACCAACTTGAAATGTACACTTCATCTAAACTACAACAATAAAAAAAAGACAGAGAGAGAGAAAACAAAAAAAACTTTGTTATGCCAATTGACCTAGATGTCCCCTGAAAGCATATTCCCGTTTTTTTTTTATGTTGTAAAACAGGCAGCAGTATTTCTGGATGAATCCAGGGACCTTTCTCTGAACCATGCATATAAAACACCCAGGACCTAAACAATTCAAACTTTTTAAATCTAAGTTTTTCCTCAAAAAAAACCCAAGCCATCAGGAGTATAGTTGTAAGACTTTCTTAGAAAATATGGCATATACCCACATAGAATGACTTCTAAAAATAAAATTTTACTCAAAGACAATGTAATGTTAGTAGAACTAACAGAGGAAATTCAACAGTTGACTACTTCTAAAATGTTTTTAATCGGTGTACATTTTTTGAGTAACTGACTCCAATTGCACTGGTCTGCTTTAAACATGTTTGTGTGTCCCCTGCCTAAATCGGAGCAGCCCAGGATTAAGGAGTGGCATGGGCACAGGTGAAGAGCAAGTGCCACTTACAACGATGGAACGCTGGCTCCAGCTCTAATTAAACTAGTTCATCCCTGCAAAGCACTTACCACAGGTCCTGGTAGGCAGTGAAGACTCACCAAGCATCTGTAATTTTTTTTTTCTTTGAAATCAAAATACCCCAAGTCTAAGAATCAATTGTGACTCAGTCTCAGAGAAAGACACTAAGTGACCAGAAGTGACTCTTCTCAAGAGTACTCACACTCCCAACTCCCCAGGATCCCAATTATCAAGTCAAAGTGATAAAAGGGGGGTTTCTGGAAACTAGTCAATCTGAGAGCAGCCAAGAGGTTTGGCAAAACGCCTCTATCCTTGCAGCTTGCTCCAAGAAAAACATTTGACGAAATGAAGGTTTGAAATAATATTGTGGGCAGAGTACGAGAGGTGTTATTCCTGGATCTACCATTTAACTAGCTATGTGATCCGGGAAAGCCACTTTCTCTCCTTGGGCTTACTTCCCTATCTGCAAAATTAAGGGGTTTGCTGAATTTGGTCAAACAGCTGTTGGTGGTGGTGGTGGAGTCCTGGAGACAATTCTGATTCATAGCGACCGTATATGACAGAGTAGAACTGCCCCATTGGGTTTCCCAGGCTGAAATCTTTACAGGAGCAGAACGCCAGGTCTTTTCTCCCAAGCCGCTAGTCACAACCGGAGCGCTTAACCACTGCGCCATCAGGGCTCCTTGGTCAGACCACTAGGAGAAGGAAATCCCAGAAAAGCTTTGTTCAGTAACAAAGGGGGGGGAGAGGGGGTTGGGGGGGAGAGGGGGTTGGGGGGGAGAGGGGGTTGGGTGGGCGCGGGAGACCGCGGCTATAGACCTGGGCAACCACTCGTGTATCTTCCCATTCTACGCAGGAGAGTTAGGAAGGTTTGTTGGAGCTGAAAACATATTAGGAAAATCAATTTCGCACTTGACAACAACCCTCAGAGATAAGAATTGTGCCCATTTTCCAGATGACGAAACTGAGCCTCGGGCAGATTAACGTGCCCAAGGTCACAAAGTTTGCAAATGACAGAGGCGACACTCGAACTCGAAAGACTGAGTTCTCTGCAGAACGCCTGCTCACGCCCCGGCCTGGAAGGGTTCCAGCCCCGGCTCTCACCAGCCCCAGGAAGGTGGCACACAGGACCACGGTGGTGAACCAGCGCTGAATGTTCCCCGTCCGGCCGCTCCGCAGGGAGACCGCCTCCGCCACCTTCTCCGCTGGGGCCTCGGCCTGTAGGAGCCGCTGCCCGTTAGCCGGGGCCTCAGCTCCGTAGAGCTCCAGCTTGCCGGCTCCAGAGAAGCGGTACTGCTGCGACCCGGCTTTCTCAGCCGAGCCTCTGGAGCTCTGAGCCCCGGCCCCACCCCTTCAGGTCCAGCCTGGCACCAACTCCCCGGGGGAGCCCTTAGTTAGAGCCCGAAGGTCCAACTTTGGAACGCGCCCGGGATCGCTTGCTGCGAACCCAGCGCCCTCCTCGTCGCACGGCGCCTGCGCGGGTCACATGACAGAAATGTGGCCTTTTGCCAACAGCGGCCTACCCTCAAACCGGAAGTTGATATGGTTGCCTAGGTTACCGGACGTAGTTCTCCGGCCTTAGCATCGCACATACCTGAGCCCAGAGAGACCCAGCTGCAGTCTGTGGCCTGAGGAACCATGAGGTAAGACTTCGCCAAACAGTTACGAGGAAATACGGGCCAAGAATTGCAACACAGGAGCTCGCGCCGGCTTCCAGGTTCTCCTAGGGAGCAGAGGGACCTCGAAAGTCTGTTCCTTATGCGTCTTTCTAAAATCCGTGCCCGGCTCTGTGGACCCTCCTCTTACTCATTGGTTCTGTCGTTCATCTGCCACTCCACAAACATTTGTTGAACCTTATATGTAACCATTCATGTATATTATCTCAATTAATCCTTGCAACAACTCTCTAAAATTACGTTTTATCCCCGTTTTACAGATGGGGATTAACTCATAGAGAATGCATAACAACTTGCCCGAGGTCAGTCAACGAATCAGTGGCTGTACAGTTGTAACAATAAACAGTTGTAACAGTAGCTCAACAAAGAAATCCGGATCCAAAGTTGCGGTTTCAAGCACCACCACCCCCATGCAGATAATTCCATTGTGAAAAAGAAGCAGGGCGCTAATTTACAGAATCCTTGAGTAAAGTCATACCAAAGGAGAAAGAAAGGCCTTCTCCAACTCCACATTTCTGTTGCCTTTTGTTCTTTGACCAAGTAGACCACAACCTTAAAATGTAAGTATTTTTCTTTATCATCTGTCTGAAATATTCTTTTCCACCCGATTTATGTCTCCTCCATTTAGGTTCCCAGACTACAAATCCTACTCTCATCATCATTTGCCTTGCAACTCTATTGGTCGTAAAGTTCTTCCCAGTCTACCTCAGAAATGTCTGAGTTGATCCCAACTCTCCATCTCCACTGCCTTAGTTCTCCTTGTCCCCATTTCTTGCTTAGATATCACAAAAGCTTTCTAACTGATTTCCACACCTCATGTCTTGAAAATTTCAGTGGAGGCCTCTGGGACATCAAGGTGATGATGTATAGCAGGACCTTAAAAATTAGGGCCAGTCACTCAGGAGAGGTGCAGTGGTTTGAGAGTTATATTTAAGATCCATGTGATAGCTGCAATAATATATGACATCATCCATGAAGATGAACAGGACGCTGTTTTTACATCTATGAACTCCAATTTGATAGTTGAAATAACATGTAAATTGACTATTCATGACAAGATTCATGTTACAGTAGAAAGAAAAACAATATGAACAAAAGTCTATGACAACATGTTCTAGTTCCACTCGGGAGAGTTGTAAAATGCTTCACAGAGAAGATGACATTTTATCTAGGTCTTTGAAGGGTAAGTAGAATTTGCCGTAGGGAAAAGAGTATTTCCAGTGAAAAACAACTGTTAGTGCAAATGTGCAGAGAGATCAGAGGACATGGATTGCTTGTAAGTCAGGCTAGCCTAAAAATATAGTTCCTACCCTTGTAGGAGTTTAAGCAATAGCAACTGGTTAGCATTGTATTATATGCTTAGTAAATATCATTTAAGTGAATTGAGGTTCAGTAAACCAATTTTAAGGAGCCCGGGTGGTACACTGGTTAAGTGCTTGGATGCTAACTGAAAGATCAGCGGTTTGAATCCACCAGCCACTCCACAGGAGAAAGATGTGGTTGTCTGCTTCCATAAAGATTTACAGCCTTGGAAACCATGTGGGGCAGTTCTGCTCTGTCCTATAGGGTCACTATGAGTTGGAATCGACTTGATGGCAATAGGTTTGGTTTGATTTGGAAACCAATTTTAAAATTAAATGTTTTAATTCTCCCTCATCAAACTTCAAAAAAGAAAAAAGTCTTCTCTAAATGGAAACATCTACTTTCTAATTCTACCCACTTCACTTCTGAAAGTAGCAGAATATTTTTTTCCCCAATTGCCTCCAGAGGTCACACAACACCTTTTAGAGAAAAGGATGATAAACTAGGGCATTGCTCTTTAGGCCAATGCTCCTTGCCATTGAGTCAATTCCAACTCATAGTGACCCTATGGACAGAGTAGAACTGTCCCCATAGGAGCAGCTGGTGGATTCGAACTGCCTACCTTTTGGTTAGTAGCTGAGCTCATAACAGTGCACCACCAGGCCTCCATTTAGGCCAATAGTGAGGATAATTTTTTTCATGAGTGACACTTCAGGAGAATTAAAAATGTTTATAAGCTGTATTTTTTTCATTGAAAATAAACATAGTTTTATTGATTCCCTTGGGGAAAATGGGCATTTTAAAACCTATATGACATAATTTATCTAAAAGGAAAATATCTGTAGGAAAACTGGCACTAGATTTTAGTCATCAATATGTTACTGTCTTGGCATAGTAGGGAGATGCAACAAAGAGGCAGATTTTAAACTGTCCACTGGAAATTTTACCTTGGGCAAGAGTGAGAAGTTAGATGGATCATGGCTTTGGAACTGTACATCACTGTTAGGACCATTTAATCTTTACTCTCCAGAGGGACCCTCCTTTTTACTCATCAAATAATGTCTAATGCTTAAAATGCATCATGAAAAACTAGAGGTCATCATAACTGTTTCTATCAGTATATTAATCTATGATTCTTTAACCTCATTGCTTAAAAACTCAGTCTTTTAAACCCCTCTCTCACAAAGTTTTAATTTCAGTAAGATAAATTTTGTTTGTACTATGTACTTTGAAAGTTAGAAATACAATTGAAATGATCTGACATGGGTGACTGATGAATGAATTCTTTATCTTATCAAAAATAAAAACATTGGGAGTTCCAGCAAAATGGCACTCTAGCCAGAAGCACCACGCCGTCCCTCCACAGCAAAGATCTGAAAAACTAAGCCGAACAGAGAATACAACAATCCTGAAACCCTAAAACATCAAATGAAGAGATAAAGAACTC